CCAATACTCATTCCACACATATATTCCATTTGTTTTCTGTATATCCCATTTGAATTACTTGTGTATTCCATATCTTCTCCTGTACGTTTCCTGCACACCTTCTGTTAATAATTTTTATAAGGCAGGTTGCAGATTGATTTGATTTCCTTGTTGGTCAATTTTTCAAATGCATACTGAACAGAGAATACCCTAAATTCATTTTCTACCAATTAATTATGCTAAAAAGCACACAATATCATTAAAGGGCTAATGTACTGACAATTGTTTGATTATTTATATAATAATGCCAATTTTAATTTCTTTTCACACAAAGGGTCCTCTGTGTTTTTCTTTTTACTGGTAGCATCTGAGCATAAAATGTCAATCATTGCAAAACAAGCCATATAACTGCTCTCTTGAATGTTTACAAGGTTTTCCAGATGGCTCTTTGCAAAATGGACAATATTTGGGAGCATTCTTGTGACAGAATCTTACAAAAGCTCTATTAATATTCCAAATGCAAAATCAGTCATATTTTTCAATAACTTTGTAACAATTCTCATCAGTTGAGGGCTGGTATTTTTCTTCTGGTGGCTTTTCGGCGGAGAATATTCATGGTACAATTACAGAAAATAACACAGTTCATGTTGTGGTAAGAAATCTTCCAAATTTAATTAAGATGATGCAGGCCTTTTAACTTCTCCTTCTTTTACAATCCAAAGAAGCCAAAGACCGAAATGCAATTTAGGAAGTTCCATAACAATAAACCAGAAACAGGGTTCTCTAACAATATTAGCAACTTTTTTCATAAAGCTTTGAAGTTCTCAATTAATGTTGATTTCCAAAACTAGAGAATTTCGCAACTGTGCGAAAATCAAAAGGTTTCGCCATAAGTCGAAACTAGTTTTGACCTTTGGCTTTTGACATATAAATTTTAATTTTAGTTTTGATTTTCGCTTCTCCAAAATAGTTTCGGCAACCAACACTATTCTCAATAGTCTACAAGCCTGATATAAGGGTAAACTATGCCAATTGCGTTTGTTAGAATTCAATGAACTTGCAAAAGCAAGAGATTTTAAATAATTCTGCAGTGGGCATCAAGAATTCGAGATATTAGATTTTCATAGGTAATTCTTGCAACGTCCAAAGAAGGTGTTTCAGAATCAGGCTTTTGCCTAGCATCAATATTCAATATTGGATAAAGAAGACATTGACGAAATTATATATGACGAAATTCATATTTATCGCCAAGGATCTTTTGAAGAAACTGACAAAATTGGCAAAATTGATTCAGCCAATAAAAACAGATGGTTATGATACTTACTGATTACCAAATAATAAATTTTTAGTGACGTGTGGACGATCGATTCCTACACATACATTAATGTGTTTTTAATATTGTGCATCAAATTTGGACAAGGGTGATGATGGGCAAGTTACCGGTCATATGTAATTACTCAAAGTAACACTTTTTGAGAACCTAAAGTTTTAATAATTTTCTTGGCTTTTGCCTATTTACGTTATACATGGCATTTTATCATCATATCCTGATTTGATATAGTGATTTTATATGTAGTCACCA